TCGGTATTGATACCTCTTTTTTAAGTGATCACTGTAACCACACTACCCAGGTCCCAGGTGGACTTACAGGACCGAGGGAGTAAGTCTGTATATGAATAGGCTGCTGCCACAGCACAGCGTGGGTCGTGCATGACATAGGGTGAGCGCCCTCAGGACCAACCTGTGATTGGTCGAGTTTTGAGCCTACTCTTTGCTCCAAATTGGTCTAAGTTCAAGCCGCCTGATTCAAGCTTACTTATGCGTCCAAATTCAGTTAGACTGCTAGGTTCAAACTCGAGGCTCCTGCAGTTAGGCAGACACTACCCAGGGTGGTGTGGGGTGTCCAGCGCAGCTGCGGCTGTCAGGACAGCAGTGCAGGGGAGCATGGGGAGACGCTCCTGCCTAACTGATCCTTGCTACATCTCCACAGAAATAGTGGGGCTAAAATCTGGACTCTCCAGGAGGGCTAGCTGGGCTCACCCTGGCTCATTAGAGTTTGGGGATGTCAGGATGTGAACGATGGGTGGATCCTTCCCTTCCATCTGCCACGTAGGGGCGGTTTTCCTGCCAGTTCTCCAGAGGCAGCATCGGCATCCAGGGCAGTGGGAGGGGGGAAGGGCACCTGGGCTGCCAGGCAAGCTGACCTCCAGGGTAGTGGTTGGGGTCAGGGTAAAGTGAGTGCAGCCCCCAGAGTGTGGCCACAAAATAACCTTAAGGGTGGTGGATAAACTCCAGTCTTTGTTTAACCATTTAGTGGTTGAGGGATGTGTAACTGTTACGAGTTCTGCTGCTAGAAGCTTAGTGTAAGAAATGAATTCACTTGTCCACGCCTCCAAAAATTGGACTCCAAAGGCAGCAAAAGAGAGGCTTTAATCCATACTCTTGCAAGAGTGGTGCCCATGCACACAGACAGGCGCCCTCCAGCTGAGAAGTTGAGTGCCTTTATTTCGAACTTGGGAAGTCCTCCCCACATCCTCCAGGGCCTGCAGCGTGGGGCTCACAGTCTTCCCAAGCAGTCTGTCTCAGCCCACACATGTTGCTTCCCTCCAGCCCCCAGTCCTATCCCTTCTTCTTCTTTCCCCCTCTATTTCTCTTTGTCGTTATTTTTAGCCTTTCGCTTCCCAGGATGGGGGGAAGACTTGTTTAGTAATTACCTCTAACCCCAGAATCTTATCTCTGGTGTGATCTTTTTACAGCCTGAGTGTCCTTGTCTGCTAGCTGACCAAGGTAAGTCTAAGGGCTTCTTAGATTGCTTAAAGAAATATGGACCAATTAAAATGTTTTATCTCTGACACTTGGGTGTGTACCTATCATTGGAATATGATGCATTTAACTCTATTGGGAAGATACCTAAATGGGAAATAGCTGGATCAAATGGAATTTCTGTTTTTAGTGTTTTGAGGAATCTCCATTCTGATCTCCATGGTGGTTGTACTAGTTTACATTCCCACCAGCAAGGTCGTAGAGTTTCTTTTCCCCCATAGCCTTGCCAGCATGTATTATTTTGTTTTTGTTTTTTTTCCAGTACCAGGGATGGAATGCACAACCTTGTGCTTGCCAGTCAGGCGCTGTGCCACTGAGCTAAATCCCCCGCCCCACCAGCATGTGTTATTATTTGATTTCTTGATGATAGCCACTCTTTCTGGAGTAGGATGGAATCTCATCCTACTCATCTTTTCTTTTAATTTGCATTTCTCTAATGGCCATTGATGTTGACCATTTTCTCATGTATTTATTGGCCATCAATACTTCTGTGAAATATGTATTTATTTTAGTTACACATTTTTTATTGGATCTTTTATTGTGAAGGTTTTAATTTTGCAGGTTTTTTCTTTTTCTTTTTCTCTTTTTTTTTTTGAGAGAGGGTCTCACTGTGTAATTCAGGCTGGCCTTGAACTTACAGCAATCTTCCTGCCTCAGCCTTTGAGTTCTTTATGTATTTTAGATGTTAGCCATCTGTTGAAAAAATCGGGGCAGAAAACTTTTTCCATTCTGT